CTTTTTAATATACAACGCTTTTATAAATGGACTAAAAAGTAGAAAATAATATTTCTCAGTCCCATAGAATTTGTTTTGATAACTTTTGATTTTGAAATTTTAGCAAAAGTCATTATAAACAATTTATGAGATTGAAAATGAAAAGCGTGGGGCGCATACAATAGCCACCTGAATTGATATGAAGGGTAATATATGTTCATATGTATGTGGATATATGAATAACGACCGCTTAAAATCGATCTCAAATTTGTACTTTCGCTGAAGAAATTTTAGGTCTATGTTATGTAGTTTGCCTATTGTCAATTAAATATAATGCTTTGGATTGCATTGTTTTGAGTAAATTAGCGTCTTTAAATTTCGAAATATTGAAGTTTCAAGCATTTCTGAAATTTACCGTTATATGGGTGATTTTTTTGAGGTTAGGATTTTCATGCATTAGTATTTGACAGATCACGTGGGATTTCAGACATGGTGTCAAAGAGAAAGATGCTCAGTATGCTTTGACATTTCATCATGAATAGACTTACTAACGAGCAACGCTTGCAAATCATTGAATTTTATTACCAAAATCAGTTGGCAGAAAATCCGCTTTTTTATCGACAAATTTTGTTCAGCGATGAGGCTCATTTCTGGTTCTGGTTATAACGGTTACCGAGATGCATATATGTGGTCATATGTGGGCGGTGCCACGCCCACTTTCCAAAATTTTATTATCAACGTATTTATTTGTAAATAATGGTTGCAAGCATAAATTTTGAATAAATTAGCTTTAACATTTAGTGATATATCGAAGATTTTGTATGTGGGATGTGGGCGTAGTTATTGTCCGCTTTTAAAAATTTTCGGCCATTGGCTATGCTGTACCAAGGCTAACAACTGTGCCAAGTTTGGAAGAAATTGGTGTAGCGGTTACCAAAATTTATAATAATCTTATTTTTCGTCTGAAAATTATTGTAAATATCAAGTTTAAGTGAACAATCGTCGGTAGTTACTAAAATATCGCAGTTTTCGTATTTTTGGAAATTACCGTTATATGGGAAGTAGGCGTCCGATTTCGCCCATTTTCAATACCAACCTACCTTGGATGAATGGAAACCTACATACCAAATTCGTTGAGATATTTAAAATTTTGCTCGAGTTATCGTGTACACGGATGGACGGACAGACAGACGGACTGACAGACATGGCTTAATCGACTTCTCTATTCATTCTGAGCATTTATGTATACATTTGTCTATATCTATCTCGATTCGTTTTGGCTGTTACAAACAACCGTTATGTGAAGAAAATTAATATACCCTTGTGCACAAGTGCGCTCGGGTATAAAAAGAATGTGTTGGATATTTCCGAATTATTGTACAGTATTGCCAGGCACAAGTTTCTGTGAATGAATCGTCGAATTCCTTTTAGGAATGTCAAAGAATAGCCGATATGGACTAGTTGGGGTTGCCACATCACTCCCCTCGGTACTTAATAGGGAGCTTAGCCCTAGCCCAGATCATGTCACACATGTCGAGTGCGAAGTTGATACAGTCGGTGTAGAGCTCGTGGGTGTTGTTGTTCGTTGGTTTGCTTCCCTGTCGTCGTTGACTATGTAAGCAGCTTTCAACCTGTCGATGCTGACGTTGGTCTTTTTGACATTTATCTCCAGCTGGTAAAACTTATCATTGCGCTTAAGGACTTGATATGGACCGTCATACGGGGGTTGTAATGGTCGGCGTACTGTATCGTTTCTGACGAAGACGGCGGTGGCAGTGGCTAGTTGCTTCTTTATGAAATGTAACGGCTTAGCACGATTCGAAGTCGTCACTGGTCTCAAGTCGCGCATTCGTTTGCGTAGATTGCTAATGACTCGGATTCATTTGTGTCGTTGATAAGCGTGGGTTCGAAAAATTCTCCTGGCAGTCGAATTCTGTTGCCATATGTCATTTCGGCCGGCGTCGCTTTGATATCTTCTTTGAAGGCAGATCGATCGCCAAGAAGAATTAGTGGAAACGCTTCGACCCACTGCTCCGTTTGGAAACATTTTATCGAAGCCTTCAATGTCCGACTAGGGGTCTGTTCAGGTCACGAAAGAGAGAATACTCGAATTGACGTCCTTGATCGGTCGTGATTCTTCTAGGGACGCCAAATCTCGAAATCCATTTCGAGTAAAAAACAAATGCAACGGTTTCAGAAGTAATTGTTTCGATGGGATATGCTTCAACCCACNGTGTAGCGGTTACCAAAATTTATAATAATCTTATTTTTCGTCTGAAAATTATTGTAAATATCAAGTTTAAGTGAACAATCGTCGGTAGTTACTAAAATATCGCAGTTTTCGTATTTTTGGAAATTACCGTTATATGGGAAGTAGGCGTCCGATTTCGCCCATTTTCAATACCAACCTACCTTGGATGAATGGAAACCTACATACCAAATTCGTTGAGATATTTAAAATTTTGCTCGAGTTATCGTGTACACGGATGGACGGACAGACAGACGGACTGACAGACATGGCTTAATCGACTTCTCTATTCATTCTGAGCATTTATGTATACATTTGTCTATATCTATCTCGATTCGTTTTGGCTGTTACAAACAACCGTTATGTGGAGAAAATTAATATACCCTTGTGCACAAGTGCGCTCGGGTATAAAAAGAATGTGTTGGATATTTCCGAATTATTGTACAGTATTGCCAGGCACAAGTTTCTGTGAATGAATCGTCGAATTCCTTTTAGGAATGTCAAAGAATAGCCGATATGGACTAGTTGGGGTTGCCACATCACTCCCCTCGGTACTTAATAGGGAGCTTAGCCCTAGCCCAGATCATGTCACACATGTCGAGTGCGAAGTTGATACAGTCGGTGTAGAGCTCGTGGGTGTTGTTGTTCGTTGGTTTGCTTCCCTGTCGTCGTTGACTATGTAAGCAGCTTTCAACCTGTCGATGCTGACGTTGGTCTTTTTGACATTTATCTCCAGCTGGTAAAACTTATCATTGCGCTTAAGGACTTGATATGGACCGTCATAGGGGGGTTGTAATGGTCGGCGTACTGTATCGTTTCTGACGAAGACGGCGGTGGCAGTGGCTAGTTGCTTCTTTATGAAATGTAACGGCTTAGCACGATTCGAAGTCGTCACTGGTCTCAAGTCGCGCATTCGTTTGCGTAGATTGCTAATGACTCGGATTCATTTGTGTCGTTGATAAGCGTGGGTTCGAAAAATTCTCCTGGCAGTCGAATTCTGTTGCCATATGTCATTTCGGCCGGCGTCGCTTTGATATCTTCTTTGAAGGCAGATCGATCGCCAAGAAGAATTAGTGGAAACGCTTCGACCCACTGCTCCGTTTGGAAACATTTTATCGAAGCCTTCAATGTCCGACTAGGGGTCTGTTCAGGTCACGAAAGAGAGAATACTCGAATTGACGTCCTTGATCGGTCGTGATTCTTCTAGGGACGCCAAATCTCGAAATCCATTTCGAGTAAAAAACAAATGCAACGGTTTCAGAAGTAATTGTTTCGATGGGATATGCTTCAACCCACCTGGTAAATCTATCGATCCATGTAAGGCAATATCGGTATCCTTTGTTAAGAGGCAAGGGTCCGACGATGTCAATGTTGACGTGCTCGAAGCGTTTCTCCGTCAGAGTGTAAGTTGCTATTGGCGACTTGTTGTGGAGTGGGGTTTTGACCTTTGGCATTGAAGGCAGCTTCTGGTTAACTCGCGGCTGTCTCGATTCATGTTTGGCCATACAAATTTGTCTGCAACTAACTTCGTTGTTTTTGCAACGCCGGCATGGCAGAGATTGTGCAACGACTCGAATGCAGTTCTACGAAATTGCTTTGTAATAAACGGTCTTGCTTTGCCCGTACATATGTCGCAGTACAACTCAACTGCTGTGCCTGTTATCACCATCGGACTGTTGCAAAACAGCGCCTATTGCAGTGCCGGAGGCGTCGACTGCAACGGCCAGCGGAGCGCCTGTTTTTGGAAAAGCAAGAAGGGCTGTCGTGCATAGTTCGTCCTTACAGCGCTGAAAAGCGTCTTTAGCTTCTTGATTCCAGTTGATTTTGGATGTATCTCTCTTTTTGTTGCCTTTTACGAGTGAAGATGATCTGCTGCGGTGCTAGGCAGGAATCTACGAAAAAAATTCATCATACCCAGAAACCGTCGTAAGTCGCACGCCCTTTCGGGTAAGCTGTATGCCTTGATGGCTTGAACTCGTTCTTCAGGTGGCGAAATACCATATTAAGAGGCCTTACAACCTAAGAAGATAACTTCGGATTTGCCGAGGACGCATTTTGATAAGTTGATGACGATACCATGCTTTCGCAATTTTACAAAAACATTTCGCAAATGTTGCTGGTGCTCTGCTTCGTCCTTGGACGCGATAAGGATGTCGTCCAGATAAGGCCAAGCAAAGTTGAATTCGCGGAAAATCTGATCCATGAATCTTTGAAAAGTTTGGCCAGCGTTCCTTAAACCAAAACACATATATTCAAATTCGTACATACCAAACGGGGTGGTTATAGCTGTCTTCGGTATGTCTTCCGGTTCGAATGGGATCTGGTGGCACGCGCGTCTTAGGTCGATCGTCGAGAAAACCGTGCATCCGTGAAGAGTATGGGTAAAATCATGGAGATGCGGCAGGGGATATCGGTCCGGTTCCGTAACATCGTTCAGTCGTCTGTAGTCTCCACATGGTCTCCATTACCACGTAGAGAGGACTTGCTCATGGACTTCTTGATGGTCGGCATATACCGGCTTCCGACAATGACTCGATTTCAGCTTTGGCCGCTTTCAGTAAGTCTGGTGCCAAACGACGAGGCTTTGCAAAAACTGGTGGCCCTCTACCCACAATGCAGTGCGTGACTTGGTGTGAGATGTCCTTCGGGACTGCGCTC